TACAAGAGAGTGAGGCTTATATAAAGGGAAAAAATGGTACTAGGAGGAGAAGGGTTCGGTCTCATAGGCTAGGTAGGGGAGTACACATAATACCCCTCGGTTATTGCTTGCTTAAGGTTCACTGACCTCAAGCCCCTAGCCTCGATAAGAGCTACACACTGCTTATCTTCAAGTGTAGGTGTGGCGGGGAGGTGACGCATATGGTCATTAGATCACCGGTTCAGCACTTTGAACCCACCAGGATGTCGCCCAATGAAATATTTATGCTTTTAATTCTTCAGGGAAGAAATCTTAATATGATCATCAAATACGTTACAATTACTCTTCGCCTAGAGGAAGTAGTGATCCTCATTTATCCTATCATACATATTATACATCTCTCGCACTCCCCAAGTAGTAAGGGTAGTTCTATCACGGTGATCCAGTTTTATAATCCCTCATAAGAACCTCAAACCATTAAGATGGAGCTAGCTGATAACAATTTCATATTCATTAAAATAAGACTTTAGGGGCTCCGACAAAGGTAACCAAACCCTAGATCGGAAAGATTCTTCATACAACATCATAGAATCGCTGTCTAAGGGTTTGTTCTTAAACTCCGAAGGGCGAACCAATTTATACTCTTGAGCAATGCCATACATGGAACTTATGTCGAGAAGTTCGCCCTCGTCTATATTTGAGGGAATATCAGCGACCCTAACGTTTTCTTTCTAAGGTTTTACCCCGCTAGCCCTAGAATCAACAACTTCATTATCCTCATCCTCGGATTAATCAAACAGAACTTGGACATCCTCCTGACTAGCTAAACCTATGATCCCACTAAAGGCAAATGAAAAACAAAACACAAAAGAGAAAAGCTAAAGAAACTTACTAGAGAGAGAAATGGGACTTCTAAAGAGAGATGCTCTGATCTTCAAGAAGGCAAGTGTGAGGCAAATGAAGTAAAGAAAGCGCATTTATAGGCAGGCGGGATACTGAAGAGTCATCCACAATTAATAATGTGATTCTTGAAGTTCTCTCTAGGCAGATGAACCATTGTCTCATTTTTCCAAATAAAGTTATCTATAAACTGACAGGTACAGACAAAGGTCTCCATATTTAAGAAAATATAAGTACCTGAAACAATTAAATATAACAGCTAAAAAAAATAAATATAATTAAAAATAACTATAAAATACATAAATTATATATATATATATATTATATATAATACGTAAAAACTTGCATATAATGATTAACATCTTATTTAGACATAAATGATCAATAACTAGGTGAGACACTGTAATAACACAAATGATAATAAAATATATATATATAATACGTAAAAACTTGCATATAATGATTAACATCTTATTTAGACATAAATGATCAAATAACTAAGGTGAGACTACTGATAACACATGATAATAAAATATATAAAAGAACAATATAAAATACATTAAAGGATATTAGACTCCTAGATAAACTTTAACTAACAGATAACATAGGATTCTTACAATTTTTTCTCGAGTACAATTATTTTTACTCCAATATATGTATTCCAAATTAAGCCCAGAGGGGGTGGATACACAAATCTCTTATTCTCCAAATTAAGAGTTTAATAATTATTAATGAAATTAATGTCATCAATAATTTATAATTTAAATAATCATCAAAGACAATTTATATTCATAATTAGTTGAAAAAATATTATTCATTTAGCATCTCAATTAAAGTTTTTTAATGTGAATATATACAAAATAAAAGCCTTTTGAATCTATTAGACATATAATATTTCTCAAATGAAAATGGACAATTTGTATAAATAAAATTAAAATTAATTTTTATTAATTTTTTTATCTTTGAAACTTTAATTTGAGTCAATTTAAACAAAAAGAAAGTCATAAAAATATAAATTTATATAAAAATTATTATTCTTGGCTTTAAATACGTTATCAATATTATTATTTTATTGATTGGACTAATAAAAGTATAAATAAATATTATTTAAAAAATAGTATTAGTAGAGCTTTATATAAGTTTATAACACCAATCTTTAATTTGCTTTAAAAAATTATTATCAATATTTAATAATTAATATTTGATGAATAATTATTTATTATAAGTGCACATATTAATATTAATAGCACTTAATGTTTAACAGTAACATATATATAAACTACAAAACTTTCAAATTCTAATGATTTCCATATTATGAGAGAAGATAAATGGCATTTATTGTTTAATTGGATTAAAAAATAAAAAAATCAAATTAACGAAAAAAGTTAGCCGTTAATAATTTTTTTATTTTAAATCAATGGTACATCAATTTTATATATTACAAAATTAACTATTCAAATTATTTATAATTATGCATTCAGAAAATACAATGGAAAATTCATATTAAGTTTCAATTATATAAATTTAAAAAATTTTAATTTAAGGAATTTTAAATAAATAATTATTTAAGTTAAAGCAATAATGTAATTAAAAAATAATAAAATGGTTAAGTAGAAAAATAATATTGGATAGAAATGTAATTAAATAATTATAAAAGGATTGAGTGGGTAAAATTACTATTGTGGCAGAATTTAATTATAGAATAATAATATAGGATAAAAATATATATATATAATAATATAGTAATTTGTTGATCTGATGCTGTGTTGCAAGTCTAGCTTAAAAACTCTAATCCGCAATAAATCTGCATCTTACCGGTATAATTTACCAAGTCCTTCAAAGACTTTAATGCCCTTTTTTGTTGTATCATGCGTCTTTCTACATCTTATTATGCGTCTTTCTACATCTTATCATGCCTCTTTCCTACATCTGTTTTAATTTCTTTAAATGTCTTTTGCTAATTAAGCCATTCCATTGCCTCAAATTTCATTACACGTACCTTTCTTTTAAATTCTATAAACCTTATTCTTACTGTAATCCGGAGTGTAGTATTGCTCTTATATGTATTCCTCCAGTATTCATTATTCTCCACCACTTAGTACCACTTTATAAGTTCTAAGTTGTTTTACTTTGTCTATCTTCATCATTTAAACTCTGGTTGATCAATCGGACAGATCAATTCTTATCGATATCAATTACCACATGATTAAATTATATCCATCATATTTTTACATTAGGTCGTTCTATTAACTTTATCTAGTTGCATTTTGAATTTTACTTAATAATAATTTCCATAATTTCTGAAACTTCGGCAGAATTTTTCTAAGAACAGATTTGATCTATAAGTGAGCCATTAACTCAGTCTAAACAAATCAATTCCGAAAATATTTTATAACCATTATTCACACAATGAAATATTAGTACAACTCAAATTTTTCATTCCCATGCATAATTGGAATCATTCCACAGAATCTTGTCTTCCATTCATAATGTTTTAAATTTATAATTCGGATACTATCCATATTAAGTTTTATTATTAAGTTTTAATTTGTTATTCTTAAATTCTTAAGTGGATTACTTTTGCTACCGTAACTAATTGTGCTTAGTGACCACAATGCGTAGGGTTCTGGTCGGATAGTGTAATATCCATATCCAAACTCAATTTCATCCTCAATCCACATATTTTATTCAATATCCTATCAGGTAGGAAATGTTATATTCATCCTTAAATTCAATGGATTTGGGTATGCAACGGGTATGCATGGATATCCATCACCCATGAATACCAATTTATCCACTGGCTTATATTGTTTAAAAATTAGATTATATGATTAAAAATTAATATTTATTCAAATTGTTTGAATAATATGTAAAAAAATATGAAAATAAATTAATACATAAATAAATGTTCGAATAATGATAAATTAAAATTTTATTTTTAAAATTGTTTTTCTTATTATAATATTTAACTCAAATGTAATGACAGTAGACTCTCCAAGTGTAATTATAACAAAAACTAATTAACAGAATAACTAAAAAACTCATATAACAAAATTAATAAACGTAAAATATTATTATCTGAACACTTCAAATCACTGTTATCGTTATAATTTTCTCCTTTATTTGAAATTGAAATTTAAATCAAATATTAGAAATTAAATTTTAAATTTTAAAATCTAAAATTATAAAATTTAAACAATTCAAATTAATATATGAAAACTAGAGTGAAATTATTTTTCAATACACTACATTAAATTAAAAGTAAAATTATAATTTATATAGACAGTTTATTATAAGTAACCCAATTTATTAAACATTTAATACTATAATTTTAAAAAATAATAAACTTTTAAATCTCTCGAGATTTGAATTTCGAATACGGGATCATATTCAGGCTTATAATAGCAATATCCATATCTTATTCATGCCCTATCCAAACCCAGTCAACAATTAAAACCTTAAATTTTAAATTTGACGGCTTTAAATTGGGTGCATATCCATCGGATTGGGTTGATTTTGTCATCCCTAGTTGTGCTAGAAGGTTGATTATTAGAATCCACGGTATGAAAATTCTTAGGAAGCTTCACCTTTTTTGCAGCTTTGGAATTAAATCTTATGAAAATTCTCCTTTTGCTACATTCATTCATCACATACCGTCATGTGTTACTCTTAGAAAGTTGATTGAATGCTCACGATTTCACTACATTCTGACATCAACAGGCTTTATTCAGTCGGACTTTACAATGCAACAATATAAGAAAACAATCATACGTTAAGTCTTTATAAGATAATGTAACAATCATAAATTTTTTAATTATTTTATTTTATTATACCTAATGTTTTTATTAATTATATTAATAATTGAATTAATTTTCTTTTACTTAAATTTCTATTCATAATTTTGTTTAATTTGTAATTAATTACTAGCAATTTTATCTTTTTCAGTTAAAAAAATAGCAAGACTGTAGAAAATCTAGATTGATTCTAAATCCGGCACACAAATCCAAACTTCCATCATGTCCCAACAAAAAAAAGTGAGATAGAAATAAAAATAAAAATGGAACTCCTTTTTTAATTCCGATAATTATGTAATTTCTGTTCCGACTTTTTCATATCTCAGGTAGTAATAAAAATAGAAATAATAAATAAAAATTATGGATAGAAAACACGTCAGCATCCGTCAATATTCTGTCAAGTGTCAACTTTATTCACAAAGTCCCTCCCGGTTACACCACCCCACATTATCTCCAGAGTCCCCTCCCCTTAATCGACGGTGATCCCCACATTCAGGCCCCACCCAGCACTACAAGAAAATGGCCCCACCACTACCACCGCTTTCCCACCGATCTTCCATAAAAAAAAGCTCTAAATAAAATAACTAAAAGACCAAAACGTACAACATTTTAACAAAATGTCCCTCAGTTAGACTCTATTTACAACCACAAATTTCACACGGGAGGTATAATGCACCTACGTGGCCTCCTGCTAGCCATTCCTGTTGAGTCATCACTGGACTTTTTTCTGGGTTTTTGTTTGTGTCTTCATTCCACAAATTGGGTCCCACCCATTTATTGATGGATGATGACGATGATTACGTATCTGTCTGATTTGGCTGTCTGGCTTCTGATGGTCCATCACCCAAGTGGGTTAAACTGTATCAGCATTGATGTACCAGACATGATAGCATTAGAAGGAATCAGAGCCGTTGATTTTCAGGAGGAATTCTGGAGATACCTTGTCTGGAGAGTTCAGCCAGGACAGTTTCAGTAGAAGGAGGCTTCAGACCTAATGGCAATGGCAACCAAGGCTTGTTGATTGCCTCTTTCACTACATTATCAATTACCTCCTCTGTCTGCAAAAATGCCATCAAGAAATTAGGTTTCTTTACTGTTTTTTTTTTTTTTTTTTTTTTTTTTTTTTCTACATTATCATCCTCCTGCTGTCCTGCAAAAATGCCATCCAAGAAATTAGGTTTCTTTACTGTTTTTTTTTTTTTTTTTTTTTTTTTTTTGTTATATACAAAAGATAACTAGACAGAACCATGCCAGGCTTTGTTTGCATCAAAAACTTTCTTTGGCCTACCGGTTTCCGTTTCGGAACATTCCTGTACGAAAAAAAACTTGGAATTTTTTTTTTTTTTTTTTTTTTTTTTTTTTGTTATATACAAAAAGATAACTAGACAGAACCATTGCAGGCTTTGTTGCACAAAAACTTTCTTTGGCTACCGTTTCCGTTTCGGAAACATTCCTGTACGAAAAAACTTGGAATAACATCACTAGTCTAATTAACTGATTTGGTACTTGAATTGGCTTCAATATAGGTAAGCATTCAAGCACTCGAAAACTATGGACTGTGAAGCATGCAATTATTAACATTTAGTAGCTATATCAATTGGCTACCATAATTAGTCCAAATTACAGAATTTCTGGACTTCATAGACAACATCCATCATGATATGAAGAAATTGCAGGACAAAATTTAAAGGCAAGGTGTCTTGTTACCGGATGTAGCTCATACAAATTCTGTGGTGTTCTGCAGCCGTTACTGACAGTTTCAAAACTGTGAAACCCAGGAGCATTCTGCATTTCCAGAGATAAGCATTTAGGGAACTAGAGCAATATTGTGCATGTACGTATTCCAGGCCATGTAAATCTATTTTCACATTTCATGTAAACATAATGTAATTAGACTCACTTGAGGTGATGAAGAATAAGGAGTGTGAGTTGGTGGCATGACAGGGCAACCCCATGCGTCTGCATGCATCTGAAACATTAAAAAATGTATCAAACAGTTTCTATACTTGTTCGTGAAAATGGTTATGACATTGACCTCTATGTTTTACTGAAAAGAGAAAATATATTAATTAACACAACAGTAGTTACCCCTGTATACGGATTCCAGTGCCAACTCTCTGCTGGTGGCCATGGGTTATAGCCTGGTGATCCCCACATTTGGACACCAGCTGGGTGAGTACCAGCTGCTCCCCATACAGGATACACTGGACTGAGTGGGAAATTATGATTGGAGTGGTGATACGGAGGATAGGCCATGATAGGTTTATGTGGATAATAACTCCTTTGTATTTGCTCTCTTTGTTGTTGCCATCTCCGATCATCTTCCTTGGGCAGAATATGCCTTCTATGCATTCGATACTTCTGCTTGGAAAGAAGCAAAGCTTATTTATTAGCCAAGCATAAAACTATGAATTCTACAAAAAATATGAATAACAAGTAACAGATATTATTTGCCATCATAATGTGAACTCTGGAAATAACTGCATATCATGTCTTTGGAAATAACAACAGAAAAATCTATAACGATTTCTGTTGGAACAGAAGCCATAAAAGCAGTCTAAAGCAAGTTCACTACTGACCTGAAGATGACTGGCAACATTATGCCTTGTCAAGCCTTCCACTTTCATTACCTCTAGTATTCTTGAAGGAATGGCTTGATCTACGCCTAGCTGCTCCACTGCATGCACAAATTTTTTGTGCAGCTCAGGCGTCCAGTCTACCTGAAGCCCCAGATCAAAGAACAAATGGCAATCACCACAGTGCATTCAAATCATCAAAATTGGGAAATCTACTTTTGAACATATGTGAAATCATAATTCCAGAGATACCATAATTTTGGAGTTACTGTTATTACAAATGGAAAAGAAATGCTGAAAAAGTAGGGGAAACTTCAGGGATAGACATATCTTGTAAATAATGTTGATGTGAGGAGAAAGTGGGAAAAAAAAAACAAAGGAAAACATTAGTGAAAGAACAAGACCTGGTCATATGACAGTTTTCCAGAATAACCAAAATACTTGGTAAGTTAATATATCTACCATAATACAAATTATAAATTTCAAATCATCAACTGCAGAAGATTCTGAAGTAGCATGTTCTTTGGTGGAAATACATGTCATAACTATAGGAAAACTTGAAGAGTTGATATAACTAAAATTTAGAGGAAACTTGCGAAAGTATTTCATGCTTATATAAACTGAAGTACCTTCATTTTCTTTCGATTAGCTCTAGTCCCATAGGAATTATGATGGCTCGAAGCTTTAATTGGGTTTTCAGCACTGCCGTCAGGACTGTTGAGACTCTCTTTATTTTGCGGATGACTAGATGCATTACTCTCATTCTTGACACCATCAGCAGAGTCATCCTCCTCTTTGATGATAGTCTCACTTAAGCTCTGAGGATGGTCCACCTGCAGAGTTACTTCAGTCATTGCACAAGTAGTTTCGACAGATTTAGATTCCCCCTCTTGCTCCCCACTCTCTTTTTCTGTTGAGCAAGTAGTATGATCTTGGCAATCCCCATCATCAAGTAACCGTGCTCCCTGTTTTAATTGTGGGGTTGAAGGAGCCGGATACTTATCAATACCTGGTGACTGCACATGATCATTTTCATGAGCTGGAGACACATCTTCTATGCTCTCTAAATTCTCATTCTTGGGCTCTTCGGTTTCTACCTTGAGCTGAAGCATGGAAGTTAGAGAATCTTTGACAGGCTTAAGTGATTCAGAGAGGACATTTCCACTGGCACTAAATGCCTGCATAAAAAATTGTGAAGTCAGAAATTTCGTTCCATAGCGTAGAACCATAACAGCAACCTCGAAACAATGTAAACGGAATCCAAAATAACCTTATGAACCACATGCTGCCATATATTTCTCAATTTGTCTTCAGAGAGAGGTTTCGGAAGGAACTCAACAGCACCATGCTGAAATAAATTGTCAAATATTATTCATTAGGATCATTAATTGGGCAAAAATGTCCTCAATGTCCTAGCTAACATAACTTAAGTATTAAGTCCTAGTTAAAAATTCAATGCAACTCTTCAATAATTTTTTTCTCAATCAATGTACTAACTGGAAGTACAATATTAGTTTCTGATTTAAGGGCCATAAGAAAGGGAAAAAAAAAATCCAGAGGAAAGAATAATTCCAACCAAAGTCTGAACAGACTGGCTTTGGAACATAACAGATCAAACTTTTAACATGTAAACATGCATGGTGCACAAATTACATGTGTTAACCAGTAAAACATAGATTAAAATTCTTACCGCTATGCACTTCATCATGGTGTTCAGGCAATGAATGTCGGAAATCACTGAAATAGAACATCATTTTGCACCGTATTAGAAGTCATTGTAGAAAAACTTTAGTTGCAGTTTTAATTCTATTATCAAAATCGACAGAAATTTATTCCTAAGCTTATTTTACAAAGTCACATAAAGAAAGTGGCAGCATTTTGAAAGAACAAGGCATTAGAATGCTAAACTCTAACAAGAGCATTAATTTTATATGCAAGAGTGGAATATGTAGCTTGTATCTGAGTTGAACTTACTGATGGTAGGCAAGTCCTTGGCAGTTTCGAGGAACTTGAAGCTCCCATTGTTACTGTTTGTACTCACCTGTGTCCATATTAAACAAAACATTGCAGATTTAGTCCTTGTTAATCAAACTTGCATACAGAAATACTTCATCCGTATGAAACTACATTGCAGTATTTGCAGTAGGGTACTATGGACAAATCTGTTAATAAAATGGATCAGTCCTAACTCACTCCGCAAAAACAAGAAAAAAAATATAAAAAGATAATAGTTTTGATGTTCATAATATACTTAAGTAAGCACCATTAATTGAAAAGGCAATTTATTTGAAATTGTGGCAGGCATAAAGCCATTACCTCTACAATAGCAACATGGAAACTTTCAGGTTTCTTTGAAATTGCTGACAGAGCTTCATTCTCATCACAGAACACAGAAACTGGAAAGGGCATGGTTCAGTTAGAATGTATGCAGAGAGAAACTTGATGGAAGATAATAAAAAGCCATAACATGCAATATATATATATATACTATAAAATGGAACAAGAAACAAAGATCCTCAACAATATTTGAACAAGAAACCATACTCATTGCATTGGGATCTTATAATGCCATTTTGATATGACCTTATCAGGTTTTACCAGTTCTAATTTCATTCAGAAAAAATTCCAAGATCAATAAAAGGAAATAGGAAAAAAGAAAATTGGAAGAGAAAAAGCCAACATGGCAAACAGAAATTAGCCAAATTGTAAAAGAAATTATAGAAAACCAAAATTAGTATAACATTTGGTGTTTTCCCCATTTGGGGGTAAAAATGGATTTGAAACACTGATACTGAAATTTTCAAAGTCTTGTTTAATATAGCATTTTTGTTCACCATCTGGAAACTTCTGATTTATGGCACAGATGATCTGTTAGCACTTTTCTTCATCTTAGAAAAATTCTATTGAAGGTGCATTTGAGCATTCCATGGCATTGGATCCTCTTTATAAATTTGTCAGTATCATTTCTAGAAAGATAGCCGAAATTCGAAAAACCAAATCAGTATTAAAAACAAATATTAACTATCTAAAGTTAGGTGAAGTGAATTTAACAATGCAATAGAAATTTCTAATTCAGAAGAAACAATTTTGTGTCCAAATGGTAAAGAACAAATAAAGAAATCAAGATCTCGAACCAATATAATCCATCGCTTCAAGTTTCGATTTTATTTCTCCAGCAGAATTGCTATCTTCATCAAGGAGGAGGACCCTAAGGCCCTTTGGAAAATCTTTCCATGATGATAAATCATTAGCAGTGCAAACCATAGCTGGTTTGGCATCCTTCTCAGGCAACCAACAATTTTCCAGAAACAGTAATCCTTATCAACATCCAAATCAACTCTCTGCATGACCCACAAGAAGATGAACTTCACATCAGTAATTCCCTAGTAGTTGATCTGATGTTTTATTTCGCTAAGCCACAAAAAGGAAAAATTAGGAGAAAATAATTGAGAAAAGGCCCCAAAAAATAAAAAGAACATCTTTCAATAACCAAAAAATTCCAGAAAGGAGAAGAAATCAACATTTTGAAAAGTTTAAATGTAATAGAAGATATGTTCTATCTTGATCTCTCAATATCCACTATAACCAAGAAGACTATCCTTTATTATTCTAATGCATGATTTTTTGGTCATTTCTTTTCTATTTTCTCAAGATTACAAGTAAATAAAAGACGAAACAATTTACTGACAGTGTTACTCAGGATTATCTACATATGCATCAGCCACAAGAAAAGATAGAGATCTTGTTCAAAAGCCTAAAAACTTCTACTGGCTCTTTCCAGTTTTTGCAAGCCAGAAGAAAATTGACGAAAACCCATGTAAGATCTCTAACATTTACACAAGAAAAGACAAGGGAGAAAGAATAGGTGGATAAATGAAGAAACAAGAAAAGAGAGTGAAAGGAAACTAGTGCAAAAGCAAAACTTGTAAATTCTTCAAAACAGAAATAAGAAAAGATGTAATAACAAAAACATACATGATAAAAGCCCACATGCATGCAGACATATACTAGAAACAAAATCACAGGAAAAGAAAGAAAGAAAAGAAGAAACCCACTAATTTCTTTTGAAAACAATAATAATCTTCAAAATAAATGCAGCTTTGTACTAATTAATCATTTCAAAAAAAATAAAAGAGAGAGCCCACAATAACACATTTGTTGTGAAGCTCTTTCTTCTTCTCCTTCTCTTCTACTTCTTCTCGGTTTCTTTCACTTGCAGCCTCTGCTTTGGCTATACATATAGACCCTTTAAGCTCAGAAGGACAGAGTGTAAGAGAGACGGGTGAGTACGGTTTGTGCAAGAAGGGTCTCTGTGAATTGTGAAGTGAAGAGTTGCAATCAATTGCCCACACACCACAGAATACACGGAAAAAGAAAAAAATATATATACTTTATAAAGTCTGTCAAAAGGTCAAAATCGCCTTTCTAACTACTTTTTAACTGAATATTCCTAAACTAATATATTTAAATCTTTTTTAATTCTCATAATTGCTGACTTATATACCTTATGCCTTATGCTTGTGCTTGTTGTACCTCTTTTTTTAACCAAAAAAAAAAAAAAGGAAGAAAGTGGGTTGAACTGGAAATTTCTTTTCTTTCTATCCAAAATTAGCAATAAAAGAATTATTATTTAGTCCAAACTTTATGTTAATAAAGGATATTTTACTTGTCAATCGGGAATGGTCTAATTGATATTCCTGTCTCTCATAAAAAATATTAAAATTCGAATGATTTCCACCGCAAAGATTATTGGCAATTTGCTGAATGTTATTTAAAGAGAGAGCTGCCTCATGCTGTATAGCCCACAATGTTATTTCAGCCATTGAGCTTTCCATGTATAAAAAAAAAGATATTTTTATTAATATTTAACTATTAAAATGATTTTTTTTAAAATTAAAGAACTGAATAATTTAACAGAACACTAATATAAGCACATTTTTAAAAAGTCATTGTCCACCCTTTATGTACTTTGAAAAAAAAGAAAAAAACACTTCACCATCTCTTGGAAGAATATGCCCTTTAGATTAAATTATACAACACTCAACTTATTAATTTTATCTAATTTCATGTAAATATGGATTAACAAACCAAAATTGGTGATGCTATGATTTTGATTAGCCTTTTTTTGTCTCTTACAATCAATAAGTAGGCTCATGGCCAACAATTGAACAATGATGATAAACAAAGTTGTCTCAACTAAAAAAAAGGCTTGTCTTTGTGATAGAATAACCTTTTTCTTTTAATTTTATTTTATTATATGTCATCATAGATTTCATGTCTTCAAGTCTTTACAAATTTTGTTTCTCCTTCTCTCTTGGGTTAAAAGCTATTATTGATTTTGAAGTTTATGAAATGACTGCCACTAAACTAATAACAAAATGATGAGGCTATTTATCTAATAATTACCATTATATTAAGTTAATTAGATATCTATTTCATAAATAAATATAACAAAATTTAAATTTCAATGGTAGATATATTCTTTGAACAACCATTTACATTTTATTATATCAATTAAAAGATTTTATACCAAGTAGATATAGTCTGATTTATCTTTTTATTGATGTAAAGAATATGAAATCTCGAATTTCAATACTCCTAATTATAAAACCTTTTACTATTTTGGTAGTCAAAATAAGAGCTACCGTTAAAATATAATCAATCATATTATTTCAACTCGTTAAATCTCCTAATGAATAAAAAAAGTTTAATAAAGCATGTCAAAAATTTAAGTTTTACACTAAAATATTTCAACTCAATATTAATTGCATGTCAAAAATTTAAATTTTACACTAAAATATTTAAAGTCAATAATCTTAAGTTTTAGAGAATTACTTACTTATACTTGGTATATGAATTCTTGCATATACTAAATTAATTTAATAAAGCATATGTAGTACAAATAAGAGCATTAATATTTTTTTTCACAGGAAAATATAAAATAATGAAAAAAATATGGTTGTTTTTCCATTAATACATAGGCAATCTCATACATATATATAAGTTTTTTTTTTTCTAGGTTCTATTAGACATGTGTCAATTGACCCTCTTTTTAAATATTTTTAACTAAATTAATTTAATAAAGATATGTTAGTAAAATAAGAGCAGATTAATATTTTTTTCAGGCAGGAAAAATATAAAATAATGAAAAAAATATGGTTGTTTTTCCATTAATACATAAGGCAATCTTCACATATATATAAGTTTTTTTTTTTCTAGGTTCTATTAAGACATGTGTTCAAATTGACCCTCTTTTTAAATATTTTTAAATTATATATATATATATATATAATATATATATATATATATATATAATGAATTCATTTATTTAACCCCACTTTTTTAAACATTATATATTTCTATATTCAGCACTGATTGGATTAAGAAACGTCTTTATTTTATTAAAGTTTTACGCAAGCAAAGTACAAAATATAATTTTAAAAGAATAATATTTAATTTTAATAATTAGCATCGCAATAATACCTCAAAGGTTCACGCTTCACTCATTCATGCAACTTTAACTTTTGGGGTAATTTTCCGTATATTGAGCTACATTTATTTGTTTATTTATTGTAAAAGGAATATTAAAAGCAATTTACGAGTTATGACTCAGTTCGCAATGCAGATTAGACATGTGAAAAGAGTATTTGGATCGATCTCTGCTTAATGTATCTGTAGGGAGAGACGAGAAACCTTAACTATGACTAAGTCTCAAGTCAAATTAGGTGGTTCCGGATACCGATGGTTTAAAAAAAAAATTCATTAACAAAAAATCACCCATAAAAGGTGAGAAATCAAATTACAAAGTAATATTACATTGATAAGAACCGAATCACTTGCTATTAGGCTAAGACATCATTTGCTTATGTTTATTTATTAATGTAAATTGTAATAGATAAATACATATGACAATGTATATATTACCTACAGAAAAAGAAAAGAACAAACAAAACAAAAAACAAAGAACTTTGTCTAGAAAGTTCAAATCAATTATTGTACTCAGTCCATTGATTAAAAATCAATTTTACCTTGGATAGACATTAGATTTTAAAATCAATGAAACAATACAATTTTTATTTCTTCATCTTGGTAGGTCTTTTTATTAATTGTTGTCTCAAGTTTTCTTTAATGGACCTTAATAGGTCAAATGAATTTTAAAATACAATATGTCTATTTAAAAATAAAATACTCTCTTCGTCCCATAATTTATGTCCTAATTTAATTTGCACAGATAAAAAAATTTTAGTTAGTATGGTTAATTTTTGATTCATTTTTTCTTAGCATACCCTTTATGTATCTATAAAAATTAAATGATCTATATTAAATTGTTCTTGAAAATAATCAAACATTTGATTTATTGGAAGATAAAAGATTGATATTGTAACGCCCTAAAATTTTGGAATCTTAAAATGATATTATTTTATCGGGTCATGAATGGTGCTACAGAGAGGGAGATAATATTTTATTTAATAAAATTTTATGATTTCTAGTATTTGAAAATTGTTCTTTGAAAATAACATACAAAACATTGACTTAATAATGGAAGATTAAAAACAAAAGAATTGATAAATTGTAACGCCCAAAATTTTGGCAATCTTAATGAACTGAGTATGTATTTTGTAAATAAACGGTCAAATTAAATAGAAGAATGCTTGCTTACAGAGAGAGGAGTACTAATATTTTATTTAGCAATCCGGAAAAAGATAATGAGTATAAATTAACTCATGAATGCATTAGTGACTTTAACTACAATTCTGTAATGAAAATTAGTAACCTACACTCCGAGTGTGGTTTCTGATACTATATTGCGATTAAATTTAGTTACTATCGGCGTAGTCTAATTTAAATGGTATAATTTATTTTTAAGAGGTCAATAACGGAAAAAATTATTACTTATACACATAAGTTTTAATATTATTTCATTTTAATATTATTATATTATATTTTCTTTAATATTTTTAGTGGGAATGTGGAGTATTTTTAAAATTGGGAAGAGACCAACTAAACTCTTTGAGTAAAGTTTTGTTATTCTACAATGGTTTAGCGAGTCCCACTTTTATTAAAGGTAGAGGGAAGTATACTAATAACGGTTATTTTCCCAAAAATCTATTAATGTCAAAAAAAAAAGGAAAAAAAAAAGAGATGAGAAAATGAAATGAATAATTTATTTGTATTATCATCATAATATAAGAAAAAACAATATTTACTTATAATATTTTATTTAGATCCGAGAAAGATATGAGTATAATTAACTATGAATGGATAGTGATTTACCAGTCTATGAATAGTACCACCGGTCTGCGAATAGTACTATCGGGAGTCGGTATTATTTTGGTCCGGAAAAATTACTATATATGTTTTATATTTTCTTTAATATTTTATTTATATTTTCTTTAATATTTTAGGAGTTTGGAGTTTAATTGGGAGTGTTTTGTGTTCACATGTTTAGCGAGCCCACTTTTTAAAGGGGGGAATTCTTACGGTATTTCCCAATCTATTTGTCAAAAAAAAGAAAAAAAAGAGATGAAAATGAAATGAAATGATTATCTATAAAAAAAAATATTACTTGTTAAACTTGTGAATACTCAATTACTTCTAATTCATAATCTATTTATATGTTAAGTTAAAATGGTGTCTGTGGCATCGAATGTGGCATCCGCTGTCGGATCTCACGGGACTGGGCAGAGGGTGTTACAGATATGTTAATTTTGTTTATATCAAGATTTAATTAATGATAATATAATAGTTTGACATTATATTTATTGACAAAGAAGCATATTAAATAAGATAAAATAGCAAACTTCAAATATTATTCACTTAAAAAAAAAAAACATGACAACAATTTGGGACGGCTAAAAAAGAAAATATGAAAAAAAATTATGAAACAGAAAAAGTATTATTTCAGAGTACTACAAAGTCGATTTTAAAATTACGAGTTTAAATCGTATATTGAGCCAATTTAGTTCTGATATACAAAAGTTGATTGAAAATACCCTAACTC